TAAGTTTTAGTTAAATTCAAACATGACTGTCAATTTTAGGTACAAAAAAGTTGTATATCCTAAAAGTTTACTCATCCTCAAGGTACAAAATTTAAATAAAAGATATATGGAAAATTTATATTTTTTGTATGGGTAAGTAAACTAAAATACTGTGAAATGACTAAGTCTTTTATAGGTACTAATCAGGCACATTGAAAAATGACAAAGTCCAATGTAGGTACATTTCAGGCACACAAGAAAATGACAAAGTCCAATGTAGGTACATTTTAGGTACACTGGAAAATATTTAAGTCCAATATAGGTACATTTGAGGCACACTGAAAAATGACAAAGTTCAATGTAGGTACATTTCAGGCACACTGAAAAATGACAAAGTCCAAAGTAGGTACATTTTAGGTACACTGGAAAAAAATTAAGTTCATTATTGGCACAGAATAGGTATGCCTTTTCTGTACCTATATTAGTAGGCACACTTTAGTTACTGAATTGGCACAAAAAAGGCATGCCTATATGTACCTTTTTTTTGTATGGGCGGCCCACATCTATTCTTTCTTTCATTCATGATGTCATTTAACATGTTTAAATGAAGCGGTGAAGTGCATGATTTACAATACATCTGATTCTTTCCTCCTGCCGACTTGAATAACCGTGCAACTTGTGCAGTTCTGTATTGAAAATAAACTTACTAGTCCTCTTTTATTGCATCATCAATCATGCATCATGCTAAACGTCTTACATTTGCCCGCTAAATTCTTCTGAAATTCCTGCACTTTAAATTGTTATACAATTTTCTACTGGAAATGTCCTTTGTTTATTCCCATCATGTTTATGTCATGGTGTTTGACAGATGAAATTCATTAGCGATTGAGTGCTTAGTATCGCTGGTTTAAATTTCACCAGTTTCAAATGCTTAAGTGATTCATAAGAGTTATCTCCCTGTGATCGCAAACCTTACCTTAAAAATTTTCTGCTGAAGAACAGCAAAGCCATGATTAGTCATATTATTATAGAAGCATCCTCAGGTAGTGTAGATTCAAATTTGTTCAAATCTAGGGTTTATTGATAAAAGGGAATTTATTGAAAAAATTTATTCAAAAATTTAATTATTATTTTTAGGAAAAAAAACTGCCATTTCTTGAAAAATAAATATTAATTTTATAACTGATAATTCATAAATTCACGCTGATTACTATTCTTGATAAATTATTTAGTATAAATTTCTATTTTGTTATTAAAGTAAAAAATAAATCAAAACTTGAAATGTACATAATATTTTTTTTTGTTTAATTTCTTATTTTTTATTCTCTTACTATAGGTTCATCTTTTCCATATTTACCAACTATGGTACAAACTACACCAGTTAAGTAATTATCTCACCTGAACAAATTCCCCTTCTGCACACATTTTTTCTATGCCTGAAATTCAAATGTGTGCAAAACGGGAACAAAGCAAAAAATCTTTAAAAGTCTTTGCTCAAAAACAGTAAAGCCATGATTAGTAATATTAATATGGAAGCATCCTGAGGTAGTGTAAATTCAAGTAGTTTGACCCCTTCCCCCCAACCCCCACCCCCCATATTCAATACTGAACTGATTAAAGCTTTTTCCTATCAAATGTGCTCAGGTGAGTGATGAGGCCCATGGGCCTCTTGTTTTATGGTTGACCAATGAAGTTCAAATTTGGTATGTTGGTTGAATAGACAGTATAAGACATACCATATAATCCCTATTAACTGCCCCTGCTCATATAAGCACCCCCCTAGGTCTTTTTCAATTGTCAGGAAATAAGGGCCCACTGTACAGTGATTAAAATCATCTAGCATCGTATCAAAAGTTCGCCATAATTTGAAGAAAGTGAAAATAAAACTTGGTTATTCGGTAACTCGTACGTAAAGTATTCCTGAAAGTGAAAGATTTTTAGAACGACCTAATCATTATGTATTTCTGAAAGTGAAAGTTACCTACAAAATTTGTTCTTCTTGTGTATTCTCTAATTTCTCGGTGGAAAAATGAATCATATAGCATAATTTCCATGGATTATCTTAACTTAAAGGAAAGTTAGACAATCTTTAGTGGTTCTCTGAATATATTTTTTTTTTCAAACAATTTTTTGAAGTTAAAATATGACATAAAAAATTATAACTAGAATACCAAAATAACCACCCCCTTTTCGCAATTTTCTAAGTGCCTGGGGCGATTAAAAGGGATTATACAGTATTTTGATGCTAAGTTTGATTCTCTGTCATCCAGTTTGTAAAGGGATTATACAGTATTTTGATGCTAAGTTTGCAGGTTCTCTGTCATCCAGTTTGGAGCTGATTCCTCAACTTTATATGAGAATGAGTGGGTAAAGTGAGATAACTGCTGAGAATGTTCCTATTGTTAAACTTGAAAGGTGCAACTGCAATGAGTCCCTTGGGATTAATTAACTTTCCTCTTGAAGTAAATCCAAAGCATTTTCTTTATCTGTCACATTGAGATTAATTAACACCCCTGTCTGCAAATGAAGTTTGTTTTGAAGTTAAGGTCAATTCTGAATGATGTTTACATTCTCTGAGGTGTGGATTTAAATAATGTTCATACTTTATTTTGGTTAAAATGCACTATGACTATAAGTTATGATTTTATTGATTTCTAAAATCAAGGTATAGATAAAGATATCTTTTTGTTATTATTTTCCGTTTTTGTGTAGATTCAAGTTTGTTTAAATCATGATCCCGGGGTACCATATATACTTGCCTATAAGTCAGTTTGCCTATAAGTCGGTTGTAATTTTTTAGGTTATTATGAAGGTATTTGGCATTGACCTGCTTACAAGTTCGGTACAACTTTCTGCCAGAATTGACTGACAATTTCAAATCAATGCTCTGATGTTTTAACCTGCTTTTTAAATTAAAATGTGTAGAAAATACACCAGTATTCAATTTTGAATCAGAAAATTATAAGTAATGCACAATTGAGATAAAAATAAAATCATTAAAATATGTAAATACTTGTACTTTATGCATAATATTAGAATGCATAAACGATATAATATATCCAGACATTATTCAACGATAATCGTCGGAAATGTTTATCAAATACTACATTTTGCTGTCCAAAACCAATCTTTTTATGACTTGCCTATAAGTTGGACTTAGATTTTGGGACCAAAATTTAACTCCCAAAAAACTGAATTATAGGCGAGTATATACGGTAGGTAGGGGCCATAATTGGGGATCAAAATTTGACATAGGAATATAAAGGAAAAATCTTCAAAAATCCTCTTTTCAAGAACAGCAGTAGCATGATTAGTCATATTAATATGGAAGCATTCTCAGGGAGTGACCCCGTGGGAAGGTTGAGGCCACAATTGGGGATCAAATCTCTACATAAGAATTTGTAAGAAAAAGTCTTCAAAAATCTTTTTCTCAAGAACAACAAAGCCATGATTAGTCCTATTGATATGGAAGCATCCTCAGGTAGTATAGATTCAAGTTTGTTTAAATCATGACCCCCAGGGGTAGAGTGGGGCCACAATTTGGAATCAAAATTTTACATAGGAATTGATAAAGGAAAAAAATCTTCAAAAATCTTCTCAAGAACAACAAAGCCATGATTAGTCATATTTATATGGTAGCATTTTCAGGTAGTGTAGATTCAAATTTGTTTAAATCAGCAGATCCCTGTGGGTAGAGTGGGGCCTCAATTGGGGATCAAAGTTTTACATAGGAATATATAGGGAAAAATCTTCAAAAATCTTCTTCACAAAAACAGGACAGCCATGTTTATTCATATTGATATGGAAACATCCTCAGGTAGTGTAGGTTCAAATTTGTTCAAATCATGATCCCTGGGGTAGGGTGGGGTCACAATGCACTGTCAGAGTTTAACATGTGGATGTATTGGAAAAATTCTCTAAAATCTTTTTCTCAAGAACAACAAAGCAATGTAAAGTCACAATGAAATAGAAGTATCTTGAGGTAGTGTAGATCAAGTTTGTTCAAATCATGACCCTGAGGGGAAAGATGGGGCTACATCTATAAAAATCATGAAACCTGGAGGTAAGTATGGGTCACAATAGGGATTAATGTTTTACATAGGAATACCGTATAACGGGTATTTTCTGCGGTTGTCAAATTTTTGCAGAAAGGACAAATCCCCAAAAATTACAATCGCAAATTATATCTTCAGTATTAATTCAGATATTTAATACATGCAAGTCTGTTAAGTGGTGCATATGTCAATCAATCTGGTTTAATGTTATTTCATAACTTCTTACTTTATATTCTTGGAAAAGAATTATGCTTATGGATGTATGAAATAAAAAGGATTTGAAAAAAGATAGCAGAGCTTAGCAGCAGTTCTCATGCGCCTTTGATCAGCATATCCTTTAGATGAATTTATAAAATGCAAACATGGCAGTGTTCTGCCGAATCCTTAGAATTAGGTGTTCATTTCCTGAAAATAAATTTTGGAGGTATAATGCAATGGCAGGAATTGAAAATGCAGAAATTAATTTGCTACCTTTCAGGGTTCAAATTGCAAAAATTTCCAACTGCAGAAAATACCAGGTATACGGTATATAATAGAAAATTTCTGCTGATGAAGAACAGCAGGGCCATATTGACTCAGGTGAGCATTGTGGCTGATGGGTCTCTGGTTAAATTTTTGTAATCAAGTAAAATGTTCATTCCGTAAGCTGCACCCTTATATTTCTACCCCTCGACGGGGTCCTTGCTGGCTGGTCAGTTTTCTAGTTTGGTAATTTATCAACTGTGTTTATTTTTTATTTTTTTTTTTTACCTCGATCTTCCCTAAGACCTTTGACTTTTCTATTTGTTGTGTATTGAAATTAGTTTTAAAGAAACTATTAAAGATATTTTCATCAAACTTAGAACTCTAATTCAAAAAATTCATTTTGCATTACTAATAAACCCTTGGCAGGGCATTCATGTCCTATGGACATATTTTTAGTTCAGTACTTTCTGAAAGTAATGAATGATTATTTGCTTTTTTCAGCACACGTCTCTCACTTGATGGAGCAGCTTGATGTTTTCATCAGTGTCAAACCAAAACCAAAACAACCAAACAAAGTGAGATTTGTTGCATGTGCTTTTTAGCTCACCTGAGCTGAAAGCTCAAGTGAGCTTTTCTGATCACCCGTTGTCCGTCTATCCGTCCATCCATCTATAAACTTTTCACATTTTCAATTTCTTCTGAAGAACCACTGGGCCAATTTTTACCAAACTTGGTACAAAGTATCCTTGGATGTAGGGGAGTTTAAATTGTTAAAATAAAGGGCCAAGTCTCCTTACAAGGGGAGATAATCAAGAAAAGGCAAAAATAGGGTTGGGTCATTAAAAAATCTTCTTCTCAAGAACCACTGGGCCAGAAAGCTGAAACTTATGTGGAAGCATTCTGGAATAGTGTAGATTCTAAATTGTTAAAATCATGACCCCCGGGGGGAGAGCTGAGCCACAATAGGGAATCCAAGATTTACATTGAAATATATAGAAAAAATCTTAAAAAATCTTCTTCTCAAGAACCACTGGGCCAGAAAAGCTGAAACTTATGTGGAAGCATCCTCAAGTAGTGAAGATTCTTAATTGTTCAAATCATGACCCCCGGGGGTAGGGTGTGGCCACAATAGGGAATTCAAGTTTTATATTGAAATATATAGGAAAAATCTTTAAAAATCTTCTTCTCAAGAACCACTGGGCAAGAAATGCTAAAACTTATGTGGAAGCATCCTGGGGTAGTGAAGATTCTAAATTGTCAAATCATGACCCCCGGGGATAGGGCAGGGCCACAGTAGGTATTACAAGGGGGGAAATCTGGTAAAGAACAGCATGGCTAAAGTTACTCAAGTGAGTGATGTGGCCCATGGGCCTCTTGTTTGCATGTATTCTTGTTTTTGTGAGTGTGTTTCTATATCTTATCCCACCTCCGACAAATTTGTACAAATATTGATTGGCTAAAGCAGTGTATGAAATTCTAAATCAAGAAGTGGACATTTAAATTTTACTCTGCATCAGCCCGCTTGGACACATTAATTTTACCCTATTCCCTCCATTTTTGCACGTAAATACATGCGCAGCTAGGTTAAGGACTCCCATACTTACATCAGCCTATGCAGAGGTTCGGGAAAGCTATTATGACGTCACGTTAAAACAATACAAATGAATCTCGATGGATGAATACTACATGTTATTTTTAAAACATATTCAATTACTTTCGTTTCTCATAAATATTATAAAGATAACTGGATGTACAACTTATCTTGCCAAACTAGCACTTGGAGTATGTAGGATGAAAGCCAGCTTGATCCTGCTGTACTTACTGAGATGACGTCATTTTTTTTAGTTTGACACGCAGTTTCTCTGTACTTGAGGTGTGGATCAAGCTATTATCATAGTTTTTAAAAATAAATACGAAACAAGCTTAATTTGACCAAAATAAAGACATATTCTAAAATATATTAATCCACATTTTATTGTCAAACTAAATTGATAATGTGTAGACTTTCTATATAGCTGTGGAGAACATATTTGTACAGTAACGTGCTAGAATGAGGGGTACAGCCCCTCGAAAATATCAAAAGTTCAACAATATCTGCTTCACTATAAATTCTGAATTTTTAAACATGTGTAGCTATTATTCCTACTATTCTGAAAAGTGCTGGGAGCTGCTTGTGCATTATTTATTAGCGGAAAGATACCCTTATATCATTGAACTTTCACGATCTTTGTAGTAGTACAGATATGTTCTAATTTTAAACCTGTCACTTGACAAACAGCTGATGTAAGCGAAGTCGCTTTGGCTGAACTTCAGCAGAGACCCGATATATACAAGTGCAAACACCACAATTTACATTCATCAAAACTAATGTTGATAAAAAATTATTAAAATTGTACTCATTTTCTGTGAATATATTAAGACGTATATTTCATGGGTGTCCTTAATGTAGCTGCATGTATGTTTTGAGAAGGAATGACTAAAACTTCAAACTTACATACAAAGTTATTCCCTCATACAACAAGAAAATTATCAAAACCGATCAATAAATTTGTAAATTTATTAAGAACACCACCATTAAAAAAAATGTCTTTTAACCTGAATCTCCTACAGTTTTGGTCTGATTTCAATGTAACTTGGCACATAGGTATACAACACTAATGTACATAATTCTGTATATTGGTTTTTGATTTCGATGAACGGTGTTACCATGGTTACTGAAATAGAAATTTCTGTGAAATACTTTCAAAACGCTAATCCTCCTACAGTTTTGGTCTGATTTCAACTTTTTTGATTTTCCATTTTGATGAACAGTGTTGCCATGGTTACTAAAAATAGAGATTTCTGGGAAATATTTTCAAAATGCTACTCCTCCTACAAATTTGTGTGATTTGAAAATAACTTGGCACACAAGTAGACTACACTTAGATACATAATTCAGTGTATCTGTTTTTGATTTCGATGAATGGTGTTGCCATGGTTACTAAAAATAGAGATTTCTGGGAAATACTTTCAAAACGCTACTCCTCCTACAGTTTTGGTCTGATTTCAAAATAACTTGGCAAACAAGTAGATTACATTAAGATACATAATTCTCTGTATTAGCTTTTGATATCAATGAACGGTGTTGCCATGGTAACTAGAAATAGAAATTTCCTTGAAATACTTTCAAAATGCTAATCCTTCTACAGTTCTCGTCTGATTTCAATATTACTTGGCACACAAGTAGACTACACTAAAATACATAATTCTCTATATAAGTTTTTGATTTTGATGAATGAAATTGCCATGGTCACTAAAAATAGAAATTTCTCTGAAATACTTCACTAAAAATAGAAATTTCTCTGAAATACTTCACTAAAAATAGAAATTTCTCTGAAATACTTTCAAAGTGCTACTCCTCCTACAGTTTTGGTCTGATTTCAATATAACTTGGCACACAGGTAGACTACACTGAGATATATGATTGTGTTTATTGGTTTTTATACGCCCATCTTTAGACGGGACGTATTATTTTATGGTGTTCATGTCCATCTGTCTGTCTGTCTGTTAGCTTTTCTCTTGTCCGGCTCATAACTTTAATACTATTAGGCCTAGGATTATAAAACTTTGTCAGCTGATACTTCTTGGGTAGAAAGTGTGTTGTGCACTAAAAGTAGGTCGCTCTGCCCTTTAATGAAGATGCTATGGCCAAATATGGAAAAATCCTGTCCGGCTTATAACTAGAAAACTATTGGATTTAGAATCATCAAACTTGGCCAATTTATCCATCTTAGGTAGAAGGTGTGTCGCGACCTATTTCAAGGTCACTGTGACCTTTAATTTAAGTGAAATTTTTTTTTAAAAAACTGTCTTTTTACTATTAGATTACACAATCCCAAAAAATGCAAGAGTGTTGCAGTATCCTTATTAAAAAAATGTTAAATCAAGAAAATACTTATTTTTTTCATTAAATACTTTACAGCAATCTACTATAACAAATGTAATGATACAAGAGAAATTCCACCTCTCCCATGGGTGTAATTATCAAGCACTGGTCAAGAAGAATTTGATAACAGAAATTTGCACCTCAAATTAGAGAGAAATTAATGAGTTTAGTGTGAGGAGCTAATTGGTAGAGCATTTCTGATCAAGCAGGTGTTATCTATATCTCTTGGGAACTGGACAAAAAGAATCAGCCCTGTTGGATTAAATAGTTGGCTAGCCTAACTTTTAAAATGAATTTGGTGAAAAGTAATTAAAACTTATTTGATATTGTATAATAAATTAATTTGATATTGTATAATAAACTAATTTGATATTGTATAATATAATTAAAACTAATTATACTTGGTGGGGGGGGGGGGGGAGGGGGATATTGGAATCAGCATGCCCGTTGTCCGTATGAATTGCAGTACTCATAAAACCAGTCTGTCATTAAATCTATAAAAAAAAATCAAGTATTTAAAAAAATGTTTTAATTATGGTAGATAGTCCCTACAAATCTAAGAGTAATGCAGGGACCTTATTAAAAATGTTGCATCAAGATTACACAAGTTTTTTTTTCTTTTTATAAATCTTTGTTTTCAAATTTAATTTTCAGAATGACATAAATATGCATTTTTATTGCACTACAAAGCAGAGAGTATGTATAGATCCACTCATTATTTCTTTGAAAATCTTCTTCTCTACTCCTGGGTATTATTGAAACAAATTAAATACATAGTTATGATAAGCAAGAGTGACTCTACCAAAATTGTGAAATTCATGGCCCCAGGGTCAGGGGTTCTGTTGCTAGGATGGGGCTTTATTTATTATATAGTGAAAATACATTAATTCTTTTTTTTCTGCTCCTGGGTATTATTTAAACAAACTAAGTATATAGTTATGATAAGCAAGGATGCCTCTTCCAAAATTGTGAAATTCAAGGCCCCAGGGACAGGGATTCTGGTGCTAGGGCGGGACTATATAGATCCTTTAGATCCTATAGTAAAGGTGAATTATTTCTTTGAAAATCTTCTTCTCTGCCCCTGGGTATATTTTAAACAAACTATGTACATTGTTATGATACGCAAGGATACCTCATCCAAAATTGTGAATTTTATGGCCCCAGGGTCAAGGGTTCTGGTGAAAAGGGGGTGGGGGCTCTTGATTATATAGTGAAAAAGCAAAATTTCTTTTAAAATATTCTTTTCTGCTTCTGGTTAAAAAGCAAAGAAGCTAAGTGTATAGTTATGATGAGCAAGAGTGCTTTTTCCAGAGTAGTGAATTGCATGACCCCTGGGTCAGATGTGCTGGTTTAAGGGTGGGGCTCTTGATAATATAGTGAAAATGCATTAATTCTATTAAATAATCCTGTCTGCTCCTTAGTGTTAAGCAGATAAACGAAGTGATTACTTATGATGAGCAAACTTCTGGTCCCATGGTCAGAGGCTCTGGTATTTCTTGGTTGGGGGGGGGGGGGGGGGGGAGCTCTATTGATAATGTAGTGAATCTGTAGTAAAAATGCATTATTTCTTTAAAAATCTTCTCTGCACCTGGGCATATCAGAGGCAAAAAGAGTAAAAGTTTTAATAAGGAAGGGTATTTACAATTATTT